AGAGGAATCAATTAAAAAAAAAAATCTACAAATTTTGTTTTAAAGGGACCAAACTTTTAAATGGCCTTTTGTAATAAAGAATTTTATATGTGTGTATGCATATAATGTCTTTGTAATTCCATGGCAAGGAGGAAAACATTCAATATATTTTACCAGTCTATTCCTTAAAGTATGCCATTAAAAACTAAGCATCATCCAAGTAAAAATAAGAGAAACAGAAGTGCCCTTGGAAGCAATTAAGGTTTTTGGAGTTTGCAAGACTTACAATATACAATATTGTTCAAATATAAATGTCCATTGTACTATTTCAAGAAATTAAGCTAACTTCTGCCAATGACCCCTTGTTTCACTGGTGTAAAGCCTTTTAGAACCTTTATTACTCCCCTTTACAAGACAGAGAAACCAACTCCAAACATATTTCTTTTGATACATCTTATTAAGTTTCTTCATCTTCTGAAATAAAAAACAGTTTATGTAATCCACTGTACCTGGACTTTATCATTGGATTTCAGAATTTGTTGTAACTAATGACATGTAACACAGTAGAAGCACGGAACAATAAAGTATAAATTCAGGAGTTTATTCTCAAAACCCATTAACATAAACATAGGCATTTGCCAAACAAATCTTGAAATTGCTACAAACCAAACAGGAAACTATCTTGGATACTCAAATGTCCGTATTTTGTGCTGCCATTGCTCAACCTGAGACTTCAGAACAACATCAGCTTTTAACTAGTACAAATCTGTTTAGTTACCAGTAGGAAATGTTGACTAGCTACAAAAATTAAGAAAGTAGAAAGACTCTGGGCTTGTCTTCACTACCGGGGTAAGTCGACCTAAGTTACGCTACTTCAGCTATGTGAATAACGTAGCTGGAGTTGACGTAGCTAAGGTTGATTTACCCCGGTTTCTTCGAAGGGAGACGCTCTCCGCTCAACTTACCTTACTCTTCTCAGGGAGCTGGAGTACCGGAGTCGAATGGAGAGCACTCTGCTGTCGAGTTAGCGGGTCTTCATTAGACCCGCTAAATCGACATCCACATCGATCTCCCTGGTAATGAAGACAAGCCCAGATTCTCAGCAGAGGCAAGAACTCAAGCAGCTCCTTTAACACAGAAGGGAGTGAGAAAGAAAAGTACAACAGAAGCTTAAGTGGTTCTTCCGTTGGGATCCTTGCAGTGGACAGCTGAAAGCCTTTCAGATGCAATCCGACTGAGAGTCACCACTGAAAATTTGTGCTACTAGTACAATATCTAGTAGATTAAGCTAAACTGGAAAAAGGCACTCTTATTCTGGAATAAGAGTATCCACACATGGAGTTGCATATGAATAGATACTGTACTTTAAATTCACACTGTACCTTAATCCAAATTTATTTTCAAGCGTAGACAAGCCTTAAGACTGTAACCACCTACATGAGACATGCTTGGGGGGGAAAAAAGCTATTTGTGGTTTAACACTAAAAAAAAAAAAAAGAAGAAGAAGAAGCTAAACAATGCTCTAACAGAACCTTTGACTTAACTGTCATTACAAAGGAAAGTTCAAAACTAAGATTGTCACCGTAAAAGAATTGATAAATAATAAACAACAAAAGCACACACAAAAACCCCAACACAATTAAGGATTTTTTTTTCCTTCTGAAAACAAGAGATTTCAAATTTGGAAGGCTTTCCCTACAAGAAGCTCAAACCTTGGGCCTAAATTTTGCTTAAAAAATTATAAATAAAAGAACTGCAAGTACAAATTAAATACTAAATACATATGGCATTTTTATGTTAACGTTGCAAGAAAGCAGCAACAAGCAATCACACTTTTCAAAGCGGAAGACACAAAAATATAAAAAAGGAAAGACCACACACTTACCAAACCTTGAGAAAGTACGTGCAGAGCTGGCTCTGTCATCGTCCAAATTGGCCATTTCAAACTGATGCAGCTAATCACAAACGTCTCAGGCTAAACTACAGCAATTTTCAAAACTGTCCAGTGGGGGTTAGAAGCAATTAGCATTAAATTAGTGAAAGCAGTGTTAGCAGAGTTATTAACATGATGCACTGGACAATCAAGGGGATAATTAAGGTTATTTATTATTTATGTTTTCCCTTTTATACTCTAAAAATTGGTTTTCTTGTGCCTTAATTTTAATAAACAATATCTAACCAAGTAACAGGACCTAGATTTACATAATCTTCCCATACTGAATAGTATATAGAAGTAATATTACTTTATTTTGCAGTAAAATTCCTGGTTACTTTATAACAATGCTTTGAATATTTACCCTTTCTATGACCTGATCCTGCATCACTGAAGTCAATGGGAGTTTTGCCACTGATATCAATATGTGCAGAATAAAGCCCATACATATTCTTCTCCAGGATTAAATAAATCCTTGATCCATGGGCAGCACTGAACTACCGGCTTGGAGAGGCTAGCCCCTCGCCCCCGCCTTCTGCCCAAGGCCCCACCTGCCCGTCGCCCCCGCCCGAGCCCAGAGCACCCCCACGGCCACCAGCCCTCCCCACTGTCCTTCACCGCTGGGCAATGTGAGCACCGGCTCCAGTTGCCTGGAGCCCTGGGCCTTGGCCGGTCCCCCCCCACCCCCTCTAGCCCTAGCCCCAGCCCCAGCCCCAACTTGGGACCCAGCCACAGGGGAAGAGCCAGAGAGCACCGTTGGGAAACAGGAGAGGACCCGGGGGCTGACCGTGGGGAGGCTCAGCCTCCCCTGGCCTGTGATACCCGCCACCCATGCCTTGATCCAAAAGAAAAGCATTTCTTCTTCCATTAATAGTAAAGATGCAATATTTGTGCTAAAACAAAGCAAGTGATACACAGTTAAACAGCTATTGTAACCCAGTAATCTTTAGGCTATAAATAAACTACAGGTTGGTTTCCTTCTGCAGTACTATACCATGATTAAAATGCGGAGAATAGTAATTATTTGAATTGGTGTCTCTTATTTTGGTGGGTAAACACACAAAAACAAGCTAGTTTTCATAACTGATGTTGAAAACTATGCCCTGATCCTGCAGACGAATCTGTGCAGGCAACCCTCTTACACATGTATGAAATCCTGCTGGGGTCACTGAGGCTCTGTACAGGTCAGATTGCAGGACTGGCCTATTACTGTATTATTTGCAGTACATTCCTACTAATACAGTTGTAATCAATCATATTGATTGATTTAATTCATTGGTACTTATAAGTTTTTGTTGGCAAAAATTCACTATGATACTTTTAACGTGTAATTGGAGTATGTACAGGTAGGTGTCTGCAGGACTGGGGCCTAAATGATATTTTATTTTCTAGGGGATACTGTAAAATGTGAGTCTCATACTTGCGACTGTAAACTTGAGTCACACTTACTAAGTTTTGCACTGAACATTCCATTTAAAAACATAATTTGTGTAAACAATTTTTAATTTCCTTTTAAATAAGCAAAAGTAGTTACATTTATTTCATAGTCAAGTATATGGTTAAATATGCATTTTCCTTTTAGATAGGAACATTGTAAAATTATGCTAGGTTAAAAACTGTATTGCACATTTTGTAAGTTTAATTAAGTAGTACTGTGTGGTCAGCATTAAAAGTTGAATTCTTCTAATAACTATCTGAATGATACTAGAAATATAGAGCTACAAACAAGCTTTTACAAAACCTAACTTTATGGTTTTGCAGTGACAGCTTCCCTTTAAGGGAAGCAATTTTTAGAGTGTAACAAGTCACTACAAACTATTTTGTGTTTATGGCAGTGGTTCTTGTACCATTGTGGGCTGCATCCAATACTACCTGTATGGCCCTGAGGATGTCACATGGGCTGCAGCCCTGTGCTGACTGGGCTGCAAGTGGCCCACAGACCACACGTTGAGAACCACTAGTTTATGGCAATAAGTTGTTAAGTAAACCAAGGATTTTCATCTCAGGGGAATGGAATTTAAGTCTAATCTGTGGTTCTCAGCAAAATTAGACAAAAGATCATGATTTTGATGCAAGAATATATTAGTGGTTTCAGAATACATTATTGTTCAACAGCTTGTCAAACACAATGATGTGTGAAGCAAACCAGTTTCGTTTACATGTGCTGAGCTGAACTTTATTGAAATTTAACTGTCTCATTAAACTCATGAATTTAAAATGTCTCAGCAAAGTTATACATCAACAGAGTAGCAGATTTTTTAAATGACCTTAAAATTAATCCAAAATAATTTATTTCCAAACGAATGAGATAGGTTACAGTTTTTGTTTTTAATTGTGCAAGGTGTGAGGATGAAAAAAGAAACAAAAAGGTTAAGGCTTTAGAAAGGGATCTAAATTTGCGCTACAGGTAGGGGGTCCTACATCTCTGTCAGTTATTGTGAAAGCAAGGACAGATGTAGTTTAATGGGGAAGTGCACCACGGGGCTAGAGAATGCGAGTTACCATAGCCCTGAACAAGCCTCAAATTTTCTCTCAGACTTTATCAGCGTTAGGTAAGAAGATGAGAAGAAAACCGTGCAGCTGCAGCAGCAGCACTTGTGACTTCAACTCCACCGTGGCAGCTGCCCTTTGAGTGACCTGCGAAACTGCCGGGGGGCCAAGCAAGCCAGAAATAGTGACAGCCACAGCTGAGGTGGGGAGTGGGGGGAGAGCGGGGCTCGTTTGAGAGAGGTTAGACGAACAAGGCGAGCCCCATTCTCTCAGCGAGGGCGCAAGCAAACAGATCCCCGCAGCCCCCTCCCCGTCCAGGCAAAGGGGTCAGACCTGCGCGCTTAGACCGGGCTCGCAGCTCCAACATCCTCCAGCTCACGTCTGCCAGATGCGACGCCATGGCGCGGAAGAACCACCACTACTACTCCTCTCCCCGCGCGCCTGCTCCACCGGGGAGAGGCCGAGGCGATAGCACGGCTCCGTCCGCTGTTGTTACCCTGACCGGCCGTAAACACGCCCGCGACACTGTCGCAAATGCGTCCGTTCAGTCAGTCCGGAAGTGAAGGGGGGATTGTGACGGCCCCTCCCCCCCCCGCTGCCGTAAGTGATGCTGGCTGCGGCCGCGGCAGGCTGCCAGTGGGTTGGAGGTGCTGGAGGATGGGGCGCTGCTACCTGTTTGGTCTGTGCTTGCTCCTCGGGCTGCTGAGGGCTGGCCGGGGGCTGCAGAACGTCACCGCCCAGCTCTTCGGGGCCGAGGCCTTCGGGACCCTGGCGGCCTTCGGGGACTTTAACTCGGATAAGCAGACCGACCTGTTCGTGCTGAGGGGCGGTAAGTGCGGGAGGGGCTGGGGGACTGGTCGGACTGGAGCGCCCCCAGCCTCTAGGGGCGGTGGGGTGAGGCTGCCCCCTTAGCAGCGGAGATGGGGCACAGTCCACTGGTTACTCAAACGGCTTGAATGCCATGGATCGTCTCTTCTCTTCTCATACCGGACCTACCTCTGTGGTCTCTGACCCCCTTAGCTGAGGAATGGTGCATCCCGTATGGGCAGGCCCATCAATTACGTTTATATAACGTAACAAGGGAGTAAGTAGTGGGTGTAACTCTTACAATTAGGAATTACTATCAAGACTATTAATATTTGTCTATGATCACAAAATAAGGTGTGAGTGTTAACAAGTCCTTCGGCCAAGGGCTTCTCATCTCTGTGAAACAATATTGACATTTTTGTCAGAGGGAGACTTTGGGACAATATTGTATTATCAGTGGATTATAGTCTAAAATATGTCATTTAATAGTCGTAGCCTTACCCCTCAATCAGCATTGTACTGAAGATGCCTGTAACAAAAATTGAAGTAATGTTATGTCTTCTAGGGGAATTAGCTCAAGTGGTAGAGTGCTTGTTTAGCATGCGAGAGGCAGCAGGATCAATGCCCATGTTCTGTGGGCAAATATAGTGCCCATCTATAAAAAGGGCAATAAGGACAAAACAGGGAATTACAGATCAGTCAGTTTAACTTCAGTACCCAGAAAGATAATGGGGCAAATAATTAAGCACTTTGCCAATATCTAGAAGATAGAAGGGTGATAAGTAACCGTCAGTATGGATTTGTCAAGAACAAATCATGTCAAGCCAATCTAATAGCTTTCTTTGACAGGGTAGCAAGCCTTGTGTATAGGGGGGAAGCGGTAGATGTGGTATATCTTGACTTTAGTAAGGCTTTTGATACGGTTTCACATGACCTTCTCAGAAACAAACTTGGGTAATACAATCTAGATAGAGCTACAGTGGGTGCATAATTGGTTGCAAAACAGTTCACAGAGAGTAGTTACCAGTGGTTCACAGTCAAGCCTGAAGGGCATATTGAGTGGGGGTCCTGCAGGGATCAGTTCTGACTCTGGTTCTGTTCAATATCTTCATCAAGGATTTAGATAATGGTCTAGAGAGTATACTTATAAAGTTTGTGGCTGATACCATGCTGTGTGGTGTTTCAAGTGCTTTGAAGGGTAGGATTAAAATTCAAAATGATCTGGACAAACTGGAGAAATGGTCTGAAGTAACTAGGATGAAATTCAATAAGGACAAATGCAAAGTACTCAATTTAGAAAGGAACAATCAGTTGCACACATACAAAATGGGAAATGACTGCCTAAAAAGGAGTACTGCAGAAAGGGATCTGGGGGGTCATAGTGGATCACAAGCTAAATATAAGTCAACAGTGTAACGCTGTTGCAAAAAAAGCAAATATCGTTCTGGGATGTATTAGCAGGAGTGTTGTAAGCAAGACACAAAAAGTAATTCTTCCATTCTACTCCACACTGATTAGGCCTCAACTGGAGTATTGTGTCCAGTTCTGGGTGCCACGTTTCAGGGAAGATGTGGACAAATTGGAGAAAGTCCAGAGAAGAGCAACAAAAATGATGAAAGGTCTAGAAAACATGACCTGTGAGGGAAGATTGAAAAAAATTGTGTTTGTTTAGACTGGAGAAGAGAAGGCTGAGGGGGGACATAACATTTTTCAAGTACATAAAAGGTTGTTACAAGAAGTAGGGAGAAAAATTGTTCTCTTTAACCTCTAAGGGTAGGACAAGAACAATAGGCTTAAATTGCAGCAAGGGAGGTTTAGGTTGGACAGTAGGAAAAACTTCCTAACTGTCAGGGAGGTTAAGCACTGGAATAAATTGCCTAGGGAGATTGTGGAATCTCCATCATTGGAGATTTTTTAAGCAGAACTTTGGAGCGGAGCTGGAGCACAGAGCAGCTCCGGAGCAGTGGAGCTGCAGGTTTTTGCATGGAGCTGGAGCGGAGCCGGAGCACAGCTCCAAAGCCCTGTTTAAAAGCAGGTTAGACAAACACCTGTCAGTGATGGTCTATATCACTGGACTAGATGACCTCTCAAGGTCCGTTTCAGTCCTACGATTCTGTGACTTTCCTAAGGTGTAGGAGAAATCTCAAGCAGTGATCGTTTTTGTCTTGCTCCTCTGAGGCTTGAAACCGTTTACAGCATCTTTCTTGAAAGAACACACATGCTTAAGAATTTTAAAATATTATTAAATACTGTAAGATCATTTTAATTTATTTTTAAATAAACTTAATGATTGTGAAATGAACTAAATATCTAACTGTGAAGACAGAAAATATGCAACATGCATTGTGGCAGTGCAAGCTTACTTATTGGTCTTGCTAATACACCTCTACCCCCGATATAACGCTACCCGATATAACACGAATTCGGCTATAACACGGTAAAGCAATGCTCCGGGGGGGGGAGGGGGCTGCGCACTCCGGTAGATCAAAGCAAGTTCGATATAATGCAGTTTCACCTGTAATGCGGTAAGATTTTTTGGCTCCCGAGGACAGCATTATATCAAGGTAGAGGTGTATATTATCCTATTGTGGGAAGAAGCATCTCTGAGGATTGTAGGGTAAATCACTTTCCATTCAGATTTAGCCTTTTCAGACTACCCTGGGATTCTAGTCTAAGCAAACTCTTGGTGTCAAATTGTATAATAACTTATGATAGGAAAGTCCACCTGCTGGGGTTAAATCTCATTTAGGCCAAATAACAGCTGCCAAATTGTAACAATATCCAATCACTACTGCATATTTACATCAGAATCAAACCACTGAAGTTGAGATGAAAGACTTGTTTTCGTGCTAAAAAAGGAAATTGGGAAATCATGGATACATAGAAATGGCAAAATACACAGTTTTCTAATCAAATTTCAGTGCTTTTTGCAGATGCCAAACTGCCATGTTAAAAATGGAAGTTTTTGTCCTTCACAACTATAAGATATTTACACTGAAAATGACTGGAGTTGTGTTCTGCTCATTCAGCTTTTCAGAAAATTGTTCCCAAATATACAATAGCAGCAGCAAAGGGGTGAATTAATTTTGAAGTTTAGTTGGATTGTTTAAATGTTACCAGTCCTAAACATGGCTGTATGGAAGTACTCAGCTGGAATATGCAGTGAACAAATTTTATTTTAGAGTTAAAAGGAATACTGATAATTGTGTGATTATATTAGAAGATATTTGATGTTTGGCTCATTATTTTTCAGATATATGTATGTAAACATTAAGGTTTTACATAGGATGACTAACTTACGGTTGCTTTTGCACAGCAGAATTGCATATACATGTTCCTCTTTTCTGGTTTGGCATTATATGAAAACGTCCATCTAAAATAAATAAGTATTGCTATTTCCAATTGGATTATTTGAATTATTTGAACTTTAGATTTCATTGACACAAGGCTTGCAAAATACTAAAATAACACAGCTTTTTTTTGCTAATAGTTATCTGAAGACCAGTACAAAGAGGGGGTTGGTGGGCAGGCTGCTACACATTGGAGGTACCAGCTCTAATCATTCTCAGGGTACTTTTGGCAGCCAAGTGTTGCTTCTAGAATGCTGTCTTTGGACCCTATTGAGTGTCCATTTTCTAGATTAGTTTTAGACTAGAGTGACTGCGTGATACCTTGATTCCCATTCCCCAAGATATCTGAAAGGAGAAAGAACTTTCTCTTACACCAGAGCTAAACATAAAAGCTGGCGATACCTGTATCCTACTGGTGGTTTTTTGTGTTTGTTTTTTTAACTCCAGCTTTCAAGTTCTATCATCAGAATAGAGAAGAAGTCTAGCTGCTCCTACTGCATCAAGAATATCTAGATCCCAAAGTATACTGGTGCAACAGCACTGCAAAAACCCAAAATTAGCACTTCTATCTAGCCAATTTTCAGACCCAACATCTCTAATTCTACTGCAGAAATAGAGGAAAAATCTAGCTGCTTCCAGTATGTCAAATCCAGACCCTGGTGCAGCAGTAACACAAAAACCCAGAACAGTCACCTGGATCCTTCTGAATCTAGGCAGTTTTTGCCCCTGTAGTTCCACTGACTAATTGGAAAACCCAGGATAGCTGCTCTGATTCTGCTACAAAAACTTGGATCAAACATCTGGATGTGACTGGAGCAAGAATGTGGGGGTTTTTGGAGCTAAGTTCACTTCAATTTGAAATGCAGCTCACAGTGTCCTGGTGAAAAAAATATTCCCCTTCTACCTCTTTTGAAGCAGAAGGAAATGAGACTTCGTTAGTCACCTTTGAATATTTCTTTTTCGTTAGCTGGGAGGAGCAATTATATTTGGAGGTGCAAACAGTCTCAACCATACCTTGTTAAATATTATGTTCATTCTCATAAAACCAATGTCTACTAGGGTTTATTCATTAATTTAATGCTATTTATATGCTTCCTTTTCAGGCAATGAATTACTTATCTTTCTGGCAGACCAAAAGGAGCCATATTTTAAACCCAAAGTCAAGTTGTCAATGTAAGTATTGATACATAATATCTTAATGATGATGTAATGGAAACATTCATTTTGGTTAAGACTGACTGAATTGGAAGCAATATTCAGTGGGAGCATGATTAGGATTCTTTCTGGGGTTTTTTTTTTTTTTGTCTGTTTAATTACATGATTCAGTTTCTCCGTAGAATTCAAGCTTAAACTTGAAAGATGAGCTTACTGAATCATGTCATGAAAGGCCATTTGGTATTTTTTGTACTTGCCTTAGATTTTATGCATCCTCTGAGAGATGGTGGGGAAATAAGAATTTTGTAATCTATTGGGTTTATGTTTAGTTAGATACATTTCCCTTTTTTTTTTTTTTTTTTTTTTTTTTTTTTTTTTGCTTTTCCTCCTAAAACAGATGGAACAATCTCAGCTTCACTTATTTAATGCAGAATATGGGCCTGATTTCCAGTTCCTTTGCAAATGCCCACCTACTGTGTGCACAGAAAACTGAATATCCTTATTTACATCTTTCATATGTGCATGTGTGTGTGTAACTGTATATGAGTTTGAACAAACTGAGTACTCATGCACAGAATAGACACACATTTGCACATGCCAACACATGAGTACAGGTGCACTGACATTCAAACTTCTCATTTAGAAACAAAGCCCAGATACTCAATGAACAATGTGTGTGTGGACCAAAAGAACGACAGCAGAAAACAAAAGATAATATGGGAGAAGGAATAAGACACAGCAAAGGAGAAAAGATAGGGCTTTCTGAAGCCCCAATCTACAGCTCTGGTCCCTACTGCTTAGACATCATGTTTTATGATCTAGCTACTGGGATCAAACTAGAAGGTTTCCTTGTGTCTAAAATAGAGCTTTTAAGAGCCTGCAGTGATAAGTTGCTATGGTATGGAACTAGTAAGGTTTTGCAAGTACTGGGGGGTGTGAGAAGAGTGTATAAGATAGGGTTGGAGAATGTCTGCCAAGACTTAGGGCTAAAACTTTCATCCTACAAAATTTAATGTAATATTAACCATTTCAAAAAGAAAATACATTATTAGTCTATGGATGTACAATATTTTAGGGGCCCACAGATTTTAATCACACATCCATTTGCACATTTAAATGTTTAATTTTATAATTGTAGAAATCAGGGTGTCATAACCAGTGTGGTTCCTGGAGATTATGATGGTGATTCACAAATGGACGTCCTTCTGACAACAAAACCACAAAATCACATCACTGATGAATTATCGGTTATTATTTTCTGGGGACGCAATCAAACATTAGGTAAGTTGGTGTTGCTGTTAAATAACAAAAAAATACTTAAGTTATAACTTACTGGACAACATAACTATTATTTGTGTTTATAACAGAAATACTGATCAAGCATCTATAGCAGATCTGCAGTTTCACATCTACATAAAATTTTGTACTAGAACTACAGTGGGTAGGAGGGTTAAAAAAATCAGTCCCTTTATAATGGAGTAGCAATAGCCAATTCACGGTTCAAGTTGGAGCTATTTTTTTTAAACATAAACCAGATTCGCCCCTCCCCCCCGCCCCCAAATTGCCTCTACCCTCTCCCAACTTCCCCACGTCCTTAACAATAATTATTTTTATCCTAGGCTAAAGTTTCTCTGGGGAAGATGCGTAAGAAATAGGATACAGTATTATGAAAATTTACCTCTCCTTCATTTGTCAACATTATCCTAACATTTTTGGGCTCATGACATTTAATAAAATGGTTTGGTTTAGAAATTCCAAGTTTATTTGATTTTTGTTGACCTTGCTAAGAAGCAGCATTTAGGGGGAAGGTTTGGGGAGGGACGGGAAGGCTAAAGAGTCTTTAAGTGTCTTAAAAGCAATATTTAAACACTCAATATTAAAATATTTGTAAAGTATAAATCAAGCTACTTCTGACTTCAGGTACTGTTGCTGCCAGGCTGAGTCAGAAGTGGGGGGAATGGATTATGAAGTAGCAGACTGGGGGAATGGGTTGGAGCATGTCCAGGAGAGCACATGAGATGATCAGAGGATTTGGGAGGAATATGAAGGGTTGACATGGAGTGAGGCACAAACAGGAAGATGCAGGCCTCCTTGCCAGTTGACTGAGGGGATTCAGGGGACCTTGAGAGCTTGGAGAATGAGAGGCATAGAATGGTGTTAGTGGAAACGTTATATACCTACACGAGATAGAAGGTGTGGAAGATGGAAGGGCGGGGTACTGGTGCACACCCAGGAAGTGGGGGACAGAAGATGGGAGCAAATGGAAGTGTGGGGTGAAAGGAAACAATAACTGACCGCTCTGAGCAGGGATGGACAGAGGTATGCCAGGGACAGTTGGATGTGGGGTTTGAGGGGTCTGTGGGGGGAGCAGTGCAGGACACCCAGCCAGTTTACACTTCCACATAGTCTCCTCATTGATAATTACTCCTTCCAATTTACGTTGTGCTACAGTCTTAAACAACACCCTGAATAAAGAATACTTTTCAGGTACATTTTGTGCAAATGTTATATCTGGACACGCTTTTGTCCCAACAGGTTCAGATTATCCTTATTAACCACATTTTCACATGCTTCAATCTACATTTTAGTATTAATTTATAAGATTACTAACCTAGGTAGAAATTGACTTTTGTGGTAAGGGTTATTTTTGTAATTTTGTTGAGCCACCACGTGGCCAAGGATGGGTAAGTTCCAGAGTTGGGTCTCTGAATTGCCTTTCTTCTTTGTGCTGGCAGTTAGAATTTACATGGAGCTCAAAGCAGTCAGTTATATTGTTTGTGCTGAAGGCTGGCTGTGTTTTTGACAATGGCCAACAAACAAAATCACTGGCCAACAAACAAAATCACTAAATAGCTTTGGAAGACCTAAAGTTAATAAAGAATATATTATAATAAAGATGGCTGGGTGTCTTAATGTCATAAAACGTGTGCAATTTAATCAAGTGAATGCTTTTTCTGTTTTCAGATTCTAATCGTAAGACTGTGTTAAATAAAACTTTTCATGATGAGCCTCTAATTATGGAGTAAGTATGTATGGCATCTTACCTTGAACAAAACTTGCAGAAATAAATTTGAACATAAATGTTAAATATTTAATGTTTAAGTGTTTAGTTTGTTTAACAATGTCAAATTAAAACACCAAATATCTTAAGTCTGAAATGTGCCCAATACTAAAAACACAACATGAAATCATCCAGGCTGCAGGCTGTCGCATTTCCTCAAGGTGAAGTCTCATGACTCGCGGCCTCTAGACCAGGCATTTAGGCTGCAATTTACCGTGATCACCTCAATAGATCTGTCTTTAATTCTGTATCTGCAGTCCTGGTCTCTCAGGGACAATGACAGGGTTAACAAGTGACCAGCCAGTGTTCATAAAACCAAGTATTTATTCAGAACAAAAGCATTACAGAGAAAACAATAAATAGCTTACATGCATGCTTACGAGATAATACTTGTCTGCTACATAGGACCCTAGTAGGTTTCTTAGTACTCCAGGTTCTCTCACAAGGTCTGTATCTCTTGTCATAGTCTCATGTCAGTTCTTGGATGCAGTGAGAGTGATCTCTCTTCATGTAGTCAGATAGTCACTTTATACTGTTCTCAGTTCTCTGTTTGCCCAGGTGTCTTCAATCAGATCAGTTTATGCAGTTTTCCCCAGGGTGGAGATTTCTCTAGACTTGTTACAGGCCTACTGATTCACATTAATTATCCCTGTCCCTGCCGAGTGATCTTAGTTCCTGCAGGAAACTCCTGTACCTCCCCCAGTGGAGCTAGAATATAATCCCTAGACCAAACAGAAACATATAACATTTATAAAGTAGATACTACAGTAATGTCTTTGAATATTCCATGCATCTGTCATACTACTTACCCTATATACTTGTTCATAAGCTGAATTTTTTTAGTAAAAAAGGGAAGCATCAGAGAAGGGGGTTGGCTTATGAATGGGTATAGAGAGGGAGAGGTGAGAGACAGCCCCTCCCCCCCAACAAAGGGGGCAAGGAGAGGCAGCACAGCCAGCAGAGCCAAAAGGGAAGAGGCGGGGCCAGAGTCTCTATGCTTCTGGCCACGCTGCTTCCCCCCCCCCCCCCACCCCCCCCCGCCACCTCCAAAGCAGCTCCGGGGCTGGCAGGCTGCGGCCGCGCAGCCCAGCCTGCTGGAGCAGCTCCAGCCAGGCCAGAACATCCTCACCTGGCCCGCCCCAGCTAAGGTGGGAAGCAATGGGATGGGGAGAGTGTGGGGGCCCTAGGCTAGGGGTGGGGTCATGTGGGAGGTGGTCACAGGGGTTACTTCCCTGAACTCCAGTTCACCCCCCCCCCCCCCAAAAAATGTCCCCACCAGTTGCTGTTCCGGCCCATCAGGGTAAGCCGCTGGCAGGCCAGGACACTTTGTTTACTTAGGTTTACCTCCGTGCCTGCAGATGCTTGAGGTAAACAAACTGTCTTGGCCCGCCAGCAGCTTATCCTGATGGCCTGGGAGCCAAAGTTTGCCGACCCCTGAAATAGGGTCGGCTTATGAATGGGTCATAAAAAATTTCCATTTTTATTATCCATCTTGGGGGGGGGGGGGGGTCAGCTTATAAATGAACCGGCTTATGATCGAGTATGTATGTATTTGCAACCTCAAATAAGCAGCCCTTCTGTGATCGGTGAACTCAAATTTCATGTTTGCTGAGGCTGTTTACTTCCGTGTGTGTTGTAGGCAAGCTTAGAAGTCAGCATTGACCTAGGAGAAGTAGGGTGGCTACCACAACTGATAGGACCTGTGAGGAGATTAAGGTAGGAGGGTTGAGGAGAAAGGTAGAGAGATCTGCTAGATGGATGGTGGCTGGGAGATAGTTAATAAATCATTCTAATAGTCTGGTTAGGGTAGGGATTGTAGGTGTATTGATTTAAATTTTCCCTTTATTTTTTAGTAATTTACGTTTAACACAGTATTGCACTGTATTTGCTTCCTCCCCACCTCTTTTGCTGCCTGATTGCATACTTCTGGTTCCAAATGAGGTGTCTGGTTGACCGGTCAGTTTGTAACTCTGTTCATAACTCTGATGTTCTACTGTAGTGCAGATTAGAACTGAATCTTCATAGAAGAATGCACAGAATCAAGTTCTTCAATTCTTGAGTCCCAAATACAGAGGGATGATTTATAATAATCAGACTGAAAATTGTTAATAAAGGATAAGATGACACAGCTTGTTTTTACATTTTCAGCTTCAATGGTGATTTAATTCCTGATGTCTTTGGTGTCACAAATGAATCAGATAGGCCTCAGATACTGATAGGCAGGTAAGCTAAAATGTTTACTTATTTACTAGCATGTAACATGAATTTTTATATCAATTGTTCGCATACCCAATTCTACTGTCAGTGTAAGTGCATAAAATCTCCATGTTGAGTGGGTGGTGTACAGATATAGAGCTCTAGTTTTGACCCTCTTCCTCTTGATATCATAGGAGCAATGTTCTGTGTACTCTGTGGCACATAGGATCTAATTTCTGTGCACTTCTGTGTAATAAACTAGAAATTCTGTGGCGGTTTCAAGAACTTAAAACTTGGGTAATGGTGGCTGATATGAGAAAGTACATGGTGGTTTCTTGCAGCTATTATGGTGTACAATGGTAATGAATTCAATTGCATTTATTTTTATTATGGTAGAACATAGATGCCAGTGTCTTTTTAATTGGCGCTGTACAAATATGTAACAAAAAGACTGTCATCTGTGTACACACTGAAGCCTATAACTTATATTTGGTCTAATACACCACAAGATTCCATTCATGTAAATACAAAAGTATGTCAGCAGATACCAGTGGGCTGTCCACTATTGATTAGGGAATAGACATGAAAAATTTGTGCAATATTTTTCATGTGCTCAGGTTGAGGCATAAAGTGTGTATAGTTTTGACATATACAGAGGTACACTTGGCTGGTTCAGAGATTAATGGTAAAATATTGCCTAAAGTTGAAATTCGTTCCTGATACTGTGTTGCCTGAAACCTTTGGAACAAATTTTAACTGAGTGAATGCTGTTGGTTTTTGTTTATAGCGATTACTGTTGGACTAAGTCTATAATTGCCTTATTTTCATTTCCTCTCTTCCACTTACTTGTTGGTTCCTTGTGGGAGTAGTCTCGTGTATTAAAATAGGCTGGGGCTCTCTTTTGCACCTTCCGCCTACACTACAGCAAAATAAAACAAATGCATGATATGAAAATATTAAGTTCTTCCATTTTTTAATTTATTTTATTTGCTTTTAAATATGCAGTACTAATTCCCGTGCAGTAATACCTTGTAGAATTTTAGCTTTTGAAATTGCCTTATTTAAGCAAGAGGCAATTTACAAGAGAACATTTACTTCCAAATTTGTGGGGGGTTTGTTTTGTTTTAAAAGCTTTATTTGACTCATTTTTAAATACTGTTATGTGGGTGTGTTGATGTAGGGAGAATGTATGCATCAGAATTAACAGTTCCATATTTATTCAGATACGGTTTATATCTTTCTTTTCCTAATCTTATATATTTGGAGGGACAACAATTTGACTTAATTATCCCAAGACTGTTCTCTAACCTTTTAAATTTTTTTTTAGGGTTTTCTATAGCACCTATCATTATAGTATCTAATGTTCACCAAGTAAAATATATCTGCATAGAGAAACTATTATGTCTAAGAGGGTATATGTCTAGGGTCTTGAATGGGATATATGGGGTGACTAGCCTCTTCTCCCCCCCCCGCCCCATGTTACCCAGGCTACACTCTATATTTAGTGTGCTAGTTCTATAAGAGCTATTGCAATTATGTCATCTCAAGCTGGGAATCATACCCCCAAATACTTCAAGCTTCAAGAAAACTAATAGTAAAGAACTGCATTCTTTTTCTTTGGGAATTTAGACCAAAAACCCCAAGCTTCAAGTGCAGACCTATCCTAAAAGAACAGAGATCTAGCAAGAAAGACAGATGCATTTTTCCTCAGGATTAGAGCAGCAGTGAGAAAATAAAAGCCCTTTCCTATATCTGTATAACTGCAAACTTATAGTTCTGTGTCTCGTATTTTAGAATTTCAAGAGCAGTGGAACAGAATATGAATCTCTTTAATAAAAAGCTGGTTTCAGTACAAGACTTGCTAGTGAATACTGGAATAAAAATTTTAACTTATCTGGGATTTCTGGTTATACCCTGAGCAAAGGACTTTCTTTGGTGATTAGAATATGTTGTAGACATGGCTAATGCAGTAAAAGCAGGATAAAAGAAGATTCATCCCCATCAAATAGTAGAGACAGTTTTAAAAATATATATAATGCCTATAGGGAAAATGAGAATGAGAGGTTAGCTAAGAAAACTAATAGTGAAGAACTGTATTCTTTTTCTTTGGGAATTTAGATCAAAAACCTATTTGGCACAGTATGCTCTCAGATACTTAAAACATGATCCTGGTTCTGAGCTTCACAAATTGGAGGAGCAGCTCACAGACTGTTCACCCTTCCAAAGTGCTAATTTATATATCCTGCCTGGTGAAGAAAAGGATCACTTCAGTAATACCTACTGTGACTGGGACTTACCAGGCACATAAATTGGAGTCTGGGTTACTAGCATGACCCTTCCATGAACAACTGTTAAGTAGGGTATGTAGGGCCTATACTTCATATTCTTTACGAAATTATATGTGGAAAGTGTTCTGGTTTCTAGATAGAGGAACTTCATTGAAGATAGAAAGTAATTTGTATAAACATCCTAGTACATTTAAATATGAAATATTTAGTTTGTACCCAACAATTTAATTTAAACTTTTAATTTTCTAAGGAGAATTTGGCTGACTGTGCAGTTGATACTGCCTGATTATGTATAAAGTTTATTTAGTTTGGGTGTACTTACTTTAACTCAGTAAAACTGAAAATTTAACACATTGCCTGCACAAAGGTTGAGGGGAATACCTGTTGAGCAGCCAGTCTTAACCTATTTGGAAAATCAAGCTGTATTCTCTGCCTATTGTATTGCTACCATGTACAGATAACATAGATCACCTAACTCATTACCCGTGGAAGAAAAGAAATAACTGCTAAACAAGAGTCTAGAATCAGAATATAGATAGCAACTTGGTTCGTGAAAGTAGAAATGAACACATCTCACTCTTTCACAGCTATATTAGCTCTGAAAACAATTCAAAAACTTTTTAAAAAGAAAAATGGCTGACACACCCAAGCAAAAAAATTCAAACTTGGTTGCCTCCACTAATAGTAATGGGAGTACTTAGCTTTAGGCACCTATGTACTAATATGTGCATCTTTAGGTCTGATTCTCTGACGTACTGAGTTCTTTCAATTCCTGTCAATTTCATTAGGCGTTTAGGACACACAGGCTCTTAGATCAATTGTACATTACTATTACATCATTTCACTGGTACAGCCTCCCTCTTCTGTTCACACCTCTGTTTTTTAGTAATGTCTGCTTAAATTAAATCGCAAGTAATGAATAGCAGTTTTGAGTCTCAGAACGTGCTGTTTTTGCAACTTTTAGATACTACTACAAAGTTCCAGTTAATATCTGATTATCTATTTAGTAGTTTGTATTAATATGAAAATGTACAATGACATTTGCTTCATAGTAAATACAGATGTAGTTAGTCTCTGACAGCTGTTGGGGTTTTTTTTGTGTGTGTGTATAATCAACACTGATGCTCATCACTTTAAAAGAAATGGTTTGTTGTGAAGTGTTTTGAATTTCCCTGGGGCATTTTTTAGCTGTTGTGTCAAGAGAAGCCCATTAGAACTAGAAAAGTCAATCAGATTATACCTGTTTCCATAGAAACAGTACATCAGCTTTTCTAACTTTCATCTTCCTGGACCTTAAGCAGTGTATAATTAAATAATTTTTTTATTCTTGATATTAGTCTAATACATTGTTATCAAAGATAGACAGTGAGAGGTTTTAGCAAATCTGTAACCCATTTACTTAAAATGTAATCGTTGCTAGTAGCATCATTTTAATATCATTGTCAATAAGAGCATTTCCCTTTACTAGAGGTTATTTGAAGATTTATAGATCTTTTTCGATAAACAAAGAATTACAATATAGGACTGGAAACAATATTTTGATTATTTTTAAATCCTTCACATGTATAATTGGAAGTTCTCATGCCCTTCTAAGAGAGATGTTTTTGACCATTAATCTCTGCTTGAATTTTATCAAGATGACTTTTATTTAAATCTGATTTATGGAACAAAGCCTGCAAATTCCCCCCAAGGATGTTCATGACAGTAAGTGTAACCTTGCACTGATTATATTGGAAGATTTTATCAGCTTTCTAGGAGAACAACACAGTTAATATTCTGTGAAGAAATATTGGTACAAAGAAATATATTAATAGTTCAAAAGAAGGTTGAATGTTATAGGTCAGAATATAATCTGTTTGATAATGTTTGGAAATTGTAGCTTTATTTTATTTCTTTACAAAACCAATGTTTAGTTTTATTGGAAAATGTTTGGGCTTGTAATGGAGATGTCAACAGTTTTCCATTTCTTAATTGTTTTATAGTTCTCTAGAAGTAAATGTTTTGGAATATAATTTAAATAGATCTGTTTTTAATTGGAGAGGATGATTTTTTTTTGTTTGTTTCAAAGTTTCATAGTTAAATCTTAAATCTGTGGAAGATACACTTTGGATACTGATATTTGCTGATCTTAATCCTTACAATTACAGACAATGAGAACTACTGTATATTGGGTGTTGGGGAAAACCTAATTAGAGCTATGTTTGAAATAACTGAATCACTACTAACACCCATCATGTAGTGTCTGATTAACATTGAGTTGGATTTTTACCAAATGTAATAGTTAAGACGTCTGTATATGAAAAATAACTTCTTATTCAAACACCGGCCTTTGAAAGGCTTGCCATGCTGGAACTCGAAAGCTTGGAAATATTTGCGGATATGTGTTTGATTGAAAAACATGAACCAGGATGGTGATGTGGACATTTTAATAAGTGCTTGGAAATAAGTCCACCTAATTAAACAAATTGCAGCATGAAAGAACAGAAATTTAGCGAAGAGCAGCTATTCACAGTGAATTAAGGCAGCTGTTTTCTATGATCACCTACAGTACAATCTTCAGACATTTCCATATTAAATACAATTCATATAATCACAGGCGTGTTTTTTTTCTAGTTCTGTTAAATTATTTCTTTGTAGTTTCCACTTGAAAGAAGTATGATTCATGGGTAGAAAAGTTTAGTTTTCAGAAGATTGACATGAACAATATGTTTTAATCAAAAACTTCTGTATACAAGGCTTGGTTTTTCTCCCTTTTTATTACACTAATCTGATCTCAAAGGAGAGCAGGTTAACTTTGCTTTGAATTGTAACTGTTACCATGAGAGTAGCTTTACAAATATGAAGTCTTTCTAGATGGAAGAAGATAGGTGGATCTGGGAAATGATTTGGAAACTCACTTGAGTGAAACAGTGGTTCTGTGTGTCTCATTCAAAGATAGACTCTTTTAGATAACAAAAAATGAGTCATGTCTGTGGAAAGTAGCAATAAAGAAAGCATTGGAGGAAGAACTTTAAAAGCTAAAACTGCCAGTGTTCAGTATTCACTTTAAATATGGTCATTGCATTATCTGAGTTAGGTGTCCACTCAGTTCTCATTGCTAGATTGTGTCCAGACTTATTTAGAAGTGTAGTATTTCTCTTCAGATCGTATAAATCTTTCGCTTTATTCACTGAAGGGGAAAAAAGGACAAGACATACAAGGAATGTGACCTAACTAGTCTGCAACTTCACTAATTTAACATATCTGGGAAATTATCAAGCAATGACTCTGGTGCATACCTTCCTCTTGTAATCTGCACCATCTGAGGGCTTGTCTACGCAATTTACAGCGCTGCAACTTTCTTGCTAAGGGGTGTGAAAAAACACCCCCCTGAGCGCAGCAAGTTTCAGTGCTGTAAAGCGCCAGTGTAAACTGCACCAGCATTGGGAGCCATGCGTCTCGTGGAGGTGGGTTTTTTTTAGAGTGCTGGAAGAGCTCTCTCTGCTGTGACTACGTAAGCCACGTTAAAGCGCTGCCGCGGCTGCACTTTAGCATTGCCAGTGTAGACTAGCCCTTAGTCAGGGCTACTACCATTCCTGCAGTCTCTAGACCTTTAACCTAGTTCCAGCAACACTGTTGTGATTCCACCATTGTCCCCCTCAGACAAGGGTTGAGGATATGCTGTGGGTGGGAATGGCTGGCTCCTTGCTGTACCAACCATTAGGAGCCCCTATCTGTTCTTCTACCATCATCTTTAGAAAATGTCCTCCCCTAATCCTTATTTCAATTCCAGTTCATCCGTGAAGTGAATCACATATGCACTGGACATCTGTTGAGCTGCAAAAACATGACCACCTTACTACCTAAGCTACCCACTGGGTCTCTGGCCTGCTGACAGGAAGGTGAAAAAAATCCACATCTCCCTGGCCAATCTGGTAGTTGGGAGAAAAAGTTCTTCTCAGCCCCAAAAAATGTGGCCAGCAGGGTCCAGAAACATGCTCGTACTCTAATTTGAAAAGAAGGACTAGGAAGGCTGTTACTGCCAGACACAGGATTACACTCTGGGCAGGGATTTATAAGGAAAGGGTTTATAAGCCCTCCCTTTGGATGTGCATGAACAGATGAACCTTACCAAAGAAAGCCATTACTGCCCACTTCTGACTGAACCTAGGGAATACGAACAGACCCCTTCTGACTAATAGTAACTGCATTACAGTCTGTTTGTAACTTGTAAAATTTCAAAGTTGTTTTGGTTCTTCCCCTTTGAACTATTGTATCAAATGAAGGAGATATTTTTCATTGTCTGAGAAATATTCTGATACTGTACCTTGTTCTGACTTGATATGATGCTATTGTGATTTATGGTTCATACTTTGGGTAATTTATAAACACCTAACTCCACAGCTTGAATTTCAGACTGGACTGTTGTGATGGATTATTTTATGCTTTCCCAGATCTATATTCCCATTAATTTTAGTTTATGCACTTTGTTGCAGCCTGAGTATTTCTTTACTTATTTTCATAACACATTACTTAGGTATCTAGAGTAGCTCCTACCCATTCATTTTTCTATAACTTAAAATACTTTATTTCAGAATTCTGGAACAACTTAACAAATGGACCTTTCTTCCAAGCAGATATGTTGGGCCAAAGTCATCCCTGTGTATTTTTTTTTTTAATGTAGAATCTCAATAAATCATCCTCTTTAAAATGATTGCAAGGGTAAAGGTAGGCATATGAGAGAGAAAGGGATGGAAATGGAACAAAGGAGGGGAATAATATTGCCTTAGTCTCTTTGAATAATAGTTCCAATAATTAAACTTAAAACATGTGATTAAAATTAGTTGAAAGCCAGTCAAGTAAAGTAACCCTTGTTCCTGAAACCTCTTAATCCACTGTAACATAACTCTAGAAAAATCTGTTAAAAGAATGTTAAAGTTACTAAATCAGGCACTCAAAATTAGGAAGTAACAGAATTAAGCTTGTTCACATATCTGTTATTA